AAGTGTAGGGTATTTGTTCTTATTCATCTATCCTGAACAAGTAGGAAACCAGACTGAGACTTCATGAAGGTGACAAAGGTACAAGAACACCTGCAGGCTACTGAACATAAGTGGACGCAAAGTTGCAGCAGTGGTTAGGAGGTATAGCAAGAGCCATACTGCCATTAACAGAGATATGGAGCTGCATGAGTGCAAAAGGAGTAGGGGAGATGAAATTTACAGATGGCACTGTGGATGCATGTTTGTATACCCACATTGTGAAATAAAAAGATGGCCACCAGTGTCCAGAAGCCTCGCAGGAGAGGTTTTTCCCAACATGACTATAATCCCAAAGCACACATTAGTTTTTAAAGAATAAAACAAGTGAAAGTTAAGACCTGGCCAAGTATATTCCTGAACTTGAGTCCTATGAGACACGTTTGGAGTACTGTAAAGTGAAAGATAGGGCAACAAAATCCCTCCAGCAGAGACATCTGAAAAGGATCTTCTGTGAAATATAGCACAACACTGTTCCACAGATTTGTGCAAGACTAAAAACATAAAATTGTATTAAATGGACAGGATTTGTAGAGATATTGACCAGAGGCGTACTCAGTTTTTTATACATGTATAGCTTTTAAATATTTATTTCTTACAATATGTCTGCGAATGACCTTTTTGGTCCGTGCTTTCCCATGACTTGAACAGAGAGAACACTGTATTCCCAGTGTTCTTGCCTTTAACTTCAGATGGTTTCTGTCACATCTTCTCAAATCTGATGCAGAGGCTAAGGCCCTGGGGAGTTGATATTAGATTTGGGATTTACATTTTTCAAGTATCTATTGATGTTGCTGTACTAAAAACTGGGTCTGCTGTCTCCAGACAGATGTAGTATTTTACCGAACAGCCATACGCAAGGCTCTGTTGCTCTGTGTGTGATAAAGAAAGCCTAACACAGCCCAGGGGAGGGTGGGGTCAGAAAGGGGTTAACAAAAAGTATTATTTGTTGTGCTGAATGTGTGTCCCACAGTTACTTTGGTTTCATCAGTACTGGGGGGGCAAGTGGATAAGTCTGTAGTGGAACAGAGAGACAAGCTTGGTTGAGACATGGCAGCATTTTGTCTTATTATTACTGGGGAGAAAATGGATGAAGCAGCAAAGATAAGAACAAAAAAAGCAGTATAATTCACAATCACAGGCCTCTTATCTAAAACCAAATATTTGACTGCAGCTGTTTGAGCTTACTGCTTGATAAGTTGTTTTGTTTGTCCAGCACAGATAAATGTGACAGGAATTGAGTGTAGCCGCAGATGGACCATCTTTGATAACACAGTGGTTTCAACACAAGCTCTCACTTCCTTTTCTATCTTGTAACTGCATTGCTGCATAACTAATGTAGCACCATTAGGCACAGCTTTTTTATATCATTGCCTTCAATGTTCAGGTGATTTTATTCGGATTTTGTTGTCAGAGCTTCACTGTTTGTTAATTTATTAACTTGAATGTTGATGCTGCCTAGGTTAGCCCATAATAATGCAGCGATGGCCAGGTAACAAATAGATCAGGATTAGGTTGTTGTGGCTTTTTTGCTGTATCATACACAGTATGTATAGTTAGGAAGCCGTTCATGTTTGTCAGCTCAATTATATAGCTGACAAACATGATGGTGTAGATTTATGCTCTTTTCTCAATAGATGAGGTTGCTTGTCTAAACCTTAGTCATCAGATTTCACCCAGAAAAGCTTCTTTACTTTTAGTTTCTTTGTTAGTATTGGTATGTCACTGGTAGCAGTCTGTACAATCTAATGGCCTGAGGGAAACGGCCTTGTCATCTAATGGCCTCGCTTCACTTTAGAGTCCGGAAAGGTCGACACTTAGTGACGATACAGTGAGTGACTTGGACGTGTTAATGGGCTTAGATGGAACAGCACGACTCCATGTTGCTGCAAGTGGTGCTAGATAGGCTAAAGCTTTTAGCTGTAGAGGGATCAGGTGCCCACTGGACACCATCAGAGCAGCCGCTAAGTGTTGCTTGTGACATGACATAACACCAATGTCAGTTACTTTGTATGTGTATGTCAGTAATGGAAGATGTCGTATAGAAAAATATGTACACATCTACTAAAATAAGCCGTGTTACAGTGGGATTTAGATAACCTGCAATGGCTTGGATGTCACAGGTCTGTCATGTGCCTGTGGCACAACTTTATTAATACCCCCTCCTCGTTAAACATGAGCTCAGTGGAGCTGGGAGAGTATAAAAACCAGACCTTGTTTCAAAATCTAATCAAAAGATACAGATATAAAGCAGAACTGGTTGGTTGATAATCGATTAGTTGATTAACAGAAAATTAATCTTCAACAAATTGATAATGATTAATCATTTATCTAGAAAATACTAATGATTTGATGGTTACAGCTTCTCATATGTGAGGATTTGCTGGTTTTCTCAGGTTTAACTCTGTAAACAGATGATTTGTGGTGTGTTAATGGGACATCCGAAGATGGCATCTTGGATTCTGTGAAATTGTTAAAAAAAAATTATTGACACTTATTTGAGACTCATTAAACTATTTATTGAGAAGATAATTGATAGATTGGTCTATAATAAAAATTAATGGTTACCCCAAGTCAGTATCTAGATTTTACATGCTTTTGCATGCACACTACAATAATGTGTGTTTACTCTTGAGAATGTCCTGAAAGGGAACTGAGATATACAGTCTACAGAGAACTTTAAACTTCTACACTCAATCGCTTTATTTTATTTATTTATTTATTTATTTTTTGCAAGTCACAAATCAAATAAGCTAAATCACTGCTGCAATACATTCTGCCCTCAAGAAGGTTAAAATGTTCCGTTTTTATTGAAACGATGTTGATTAAAGCTTCATAGTAATTTTGGAGGTTGTAATTTCTCTACCCTCATTGTATGCTCAAAACCAGCATGTTACTAATGTGCATGTGCGGATCGGTAAAGTCTGTAACAGTGATATCCCAATCAGAAAATCCTGGCAGGCAATGAGTTGGCTTAACCCTGTGCACGCCAGAGGGATTTTCTCCCTTAGGCTCTTATCAGCCGGGAAGCAGACAGAAATGGATCACTTATCTTTGCTTTCCACTGCCTGTTCACGGAAATATTGAACTATGGGATTGCTGTATAGATTTTCCACCACCCCCAGATTCTATGGACTATGCGGATTGATAACACTGTTTTCGGCACAGTGACGCGTGTGTAATCCCACCCCAGATTCTCACTAGGAACGTGGGAATGACATGCTGAAATGGAGGATTAATGCATCTTTCAAGAGGCTTCTGCAGGCCCCTATTTTGATCCTGAGTGTGTACTGGTTGAGTCAAGGGGGGGGACCATGGCATAAATAACAGCCCCTCCTGTATTCCTGTTACCTCAAATACACAGTATATCTGTACTGACAGTCCTTCAGCGTATTTCTCTGCTGCCTGATTAGTGTTTTTGTGTGACACCTGGTGTGTCACTGCAGTCACTGTTGGGGTGGCAAAGGGAACTGGCACTGAGTAGGTGCACAGGGGCAGACTGGCAGCAGGCCTGAACAGATGGCCATGAGTTTCACTTACAGCACAACCCAAGAGTGGAGATAACACCTCTGTCTAATAATAAAAAAAAAATCTCTAGGTGACCCCTTCAGTGTTTGTAGTTTTTTTAAGTACATGCAAATCCCAGCTTATGAAGAGAGAGAGAGAGAGAGAGAGAGAGAGAGAGATGTGACAGGATAGAGATGCTGAACCATCAGCCCTTCTGTCTCGCTCCCTCCCTCCTGCGGCTGACTGGTGAGGTGACTCATCCTGACCATAAGGCATGCTGGATCCAGGCGCTGCTTACAAGTTTTTAACATTTAATTACTCCAGCCTCAAATAGATTGATTTGTTATTCTAACACACATGAGGCAATTTAGGTAATTGTGCAGCCAAGTGGGTTGGCAATTTACACTCGAATTCTCGCATTTAGGAGAGTAGTAGAGTGATGTCTTCACCAGTTTGGGCCAAATGGAACTTCTATACAGGAACACTATTCCTGGGCTGTAAAGCTATGAACAAATAATCAAACAAAAATCACATACACATAGTAAAATCAACCTTTTTTTTTTTTTAAAACCATTTTCACTGTTTTTTCAACAGTGAAAAAACTGTATGGGTCATATGACATGCACAAGCCCCTTTGTCTTTTTGGGCCCCACTACAATTTCCTTTGTATTAGAAAGTGATTTGTCTTGGTGAATCATACTTGCCTAGTGTTGCCAAGTGGCTCTCAAGGAAAGTAGGCGACCGGACTGGATAGCTGTTTGCTTTGTCTTTCTTCCTCCACTTTAATTTGGGCAGAGACTGATCACATTTTAATGCAGCAAGACTGATGGGAAACATGGGTCAGGAGGAAGTTTAGCAAACTTGGCTTGGGAGTTGCTGAGTTTTTGTTGAGTGTCTTTCTATAGAAGCAGGGTATTTTTTAGGAGTTGGTGCCGGTGAAAAAAGGAGATTCACAAATTACCGTATACCTGTGAAATAGACAGAATTGATCTTGTGTCTGGTTTTTGCCTTTGTATCTTGCTCACTTTTTTAATTGCCTAAATGTTTTATACAATAGGGCTGACCTGGGAGATGTCCACTGGGACCTGCTTTTCTGTTTAACAGCAGTATGTTTTTCTGTACTTGCTGTCTTTTTTGTTCCTTAGTCATTCTGGACCCTAGTGTGACAGCTCTCTACTATTATAAAGACCAGTGTGCACTACAGCTTGTCAAAGGATCTGTGTTATGTCACCTTCCAGGAAGGTCCATCATCCATTCACAAAAATCGTAGATTTTTCTGGGAAGAATATTGACAAAAGTAGAAATGTGGGCAACAGTGAGTGCTGCTTTGTCAGCCATGTATTTCATCCCCAGGTGCTACAGCGTGTCAAGAAGGTGTGCTCACGGTGTGTTAGTCATGCCACTAATCTGTATTTTGCTCTCGCCCCCTTCTCTTTTGTTGTTTCTCTTTCCCACAGGCTCTGCAGCCTCACACTGAAAAAGCTGGTTGTCCTCAAAGAATTGGATAAAGAGCTCAGCTCCCTGTCTATAGCTGTCAAAATACAGGTGAGTGGGTCCCGTGTGTGATTGGAGTAACAGTCTCGATTGCAAAACATTTAATAGAAGTGTGTCATGGTCTGGAGTCTGTGATTCACCGATTCTTGGCTGGGACTCTACACTGTTGAGCATAATCACAAAGCACAGTTTCACAAGGACTTCACTAAATTGACATTTTGTTATGTTGTGCTCAAATGAACAAGTCTGCTGCAACAGAGTTAAACATTTATTTCATCTTCATTGCAGAATAGCAGGATGACAGCTTGTTATCACTTGTTTCCTCTGTACTGTCACTGTAGCAACGCATTCCCATTCAACGATTACCTGTATAATAGCCTTTATGTGGAATTCAAAGTATTCCTAGAAGTCAGGGTGTGTATTTCAGAAAGGCTGGATACAGTATCGCCCTCTCAGAGTAATGTTTTGTTTGACTGACACATTGTTGACGGTGAATCTGTGAGCTTGTTTTGACTTGTGAATGTCCCACCCCTATCAGTGTACTCGTGCCTGTGTGTTTTTGTGTGGATTTACTTGTATGGGAGACAGAGAAGAATAAGGAAACAAACTATTAACAAAAACAAGGCACAAATAAGTTACTTTTATAATGAAAATCAGCAGTTGTGAACCTGTGTAATATTCAAGTATTGAGCCTTTAAGCATAGAGCCTTGAATCTTCAACTTCTGGTAGGTTTCAGTACAGAAAGCACCATTTTATTTCTTCTCATGCCTCAGTAGTTGACAATTTTCCTTTCCCACTCTTAAAGTTGTCCCTGTTATTATGAAATTTAATTGAAATTTGATGCATTACCGGCTGAAACAAATCCTCCCCACTTTACTGTCATCCTGAATGAGAAGGCAACCAAGTGTAGCTTTCTCCATGACCTATCTTGTCTCCAGAGCATGAAATCTCCCCGGTTCTACTGAGCCACCCTTGAGGACAGCTGAGCAAAGCTCTCTTCACCACAGCTCCAGAACTGGAGCATTAAACACAGTTTCCAGCCGTTTGGTTAGAGGGACAGTTGGAGAAGATGACGGAGAAATTGTTTGCTTGTTTTCAGACCGTGAATGACAAAATTTCATTACTGCATGCCATCAGTTCTCTGTTCGGCATACAGTGGTAGTCTCTTTTCTCTCCCTGGGTCTCATCAGGGTAAGTGGCCTTGATGCGCACACAGCTCCTGTAATGGCTAACCATTTGGATGGCCTGCCAAAGCCACAGCAGTAGGGATGATGAGATTGCAGTTTAGTCTGTAGGAGGCTCTGTGTTCCCTTGGAGATAGTCTTCTTTTTCTTGCCATGGAGACTGCTGCACTTCAAGTAGCTTAGGCCTCCTCGTACAGACCTCTGCCACATTTTCTGCCCATTATGTCACACTGTGGTTTACTACTGCACGTCCACTACATGATTGTTTTGTGTGTGTGCGTGTCTGTGTACAAATCAGTGTTGGGTGACAGCAGAAGCCTCAGAACACCATTAAAATCTCCTCAGTTACATTTCCATGCTGTGCTCTTGATCTGACCTTAAATGACTTCCTGTCTTTGCAGCAAACAGGGGAGCCAAGTTAGACAATTTAACATGTTTAAAAAGTAACCTTGAGAAGAAGTGTAAAGTTGAACTTGTTTTCCCACAGGCTTCTGGAGCTTGGTAGAGTAGAGAGGTTATAAGATCCCCCATCCGGCTGCAGAGAGACAGTAGAGAAACTTGTAGCAGGAGAAAGGGGGTGCAAAGGACATTCAGTACAAGCTTTCCTTGCCAAAGCTCTGTATTGTTAATGCATGTCAGCCAGTTTGAGAGTGCTCAGCTTTTGTGCCTTGATTCATTGTACCAGGCTCTGAGCATCAGAAAAGGGTGCATACAATGCCTCTTTGTGGAGCTCAAGTTAGTGACATGGTCAGACAGATATTTACCATTTTTTGATTTATGTACAAAGCAGGAGCTGCAGCTACTGAGTATACTGTCAGCATGCCCCTCTCTGGAGCATATTGAGCCATTAGGCTGGTCAGAAAAATACATCTAAATGCTTTGCACATGTCAGCAAAGCTAAATATTTTTTATCCCCATGTTCCTTTTAATTCTTTAAAGCAATGTTTCTATTCTTTACAGTTTTGGTTTATGCATTATAAATTTTTGACATTGCTGGAGACATCCATTTAGGGATGGTGGATTGTATCACAGCAGGACTGTTTTCTAGAGCACCCTTTATTTTCTGCTGCTTACTCAGTACATGGAAAAAGTGGTAGTGGAAGTGGAGCTTGTACATTGAGACCTCAGATGCAATACTGCTTGGCTTTTTTACAGACAGTATGATACTTGCTGTATTGTGGTGGACATAGACTGTATATAAAGATGGATGACACGTCACCATTTGTCTAGGAGCTTTCATTTTCATTTGAGGAGAAGATGGATTTGTGTGGTGTCATCTCAGGCTATATGCATGTGTATGGATTTCTTCAGTTCAGCTGTTAACACTGCTTGATTGACTGGAGGGAACGGATTACTTGGGCACATACTGTATGCCATGTTTGTTGGCTGCAGC